TTCGGGCGCTTCGTGACGGCGGTGGCTTGTTGGTGGCTCTCCTGACTTTCCCCTTCTCCGTCTTCCTTCCAGTGATCCAGTTTTTCGACGCTGTCAAGGCGGATCGCACTCGGAGCTGGCTGCACGCCGCTTGCTCCCTCTCCTACCTGGGCGCTATGGTTTCCAGCAACTCGGCTCTGCAGTTCGTCAGCTACCCGACTCAGGTGGAGCGGGGCGTGCGCCGCGGGGGGGCGAGGGGAGACGGCGTTAACGCACAGCACTCCGTTCCCCCCTAACGCGCGGGGTACCCCGAAAACGGGCGCTGTGCTGACGAGGCTAACGCTGTGGAAGAACCAGCCGGTGAAATGACACGGAGGGAAACCGCCATTTTGTTTTCCTGTAGCTGCGTTTGCGGGGCTGTATCGCTGTGGTTCAGTCTGCGCTGGGTGTGCAGAGAGGGGTCAAAAGAGCTCAGACTGTTCCGGAAAGGGAACAGCAATCCCTAGAGGTTACGGGAATTCGCTAACTGGGAGCCGGTGCTAATGCTGGAGGGCTTGAGATGACTTCTGAAAGTTTCACCGTTAATTTAGCAGTCGCCCTGCGGTGGGGTTTTTTGTCTTCCTTTTTTTTGAAGCGGCTGGTATGTTTTATGGGAGGGGCGCGTCAGGGCGGTCTGATCCCGTACGGTCACCCTCGCGTTGCCGTGATCTCTCTCGTTGCAGGCGGGTTGATGGTACGCGGGTGGTTAACAGTGTCTTTCTTTTGTAGGTCCTAGGCAAATCTTGCAAGCCTATTCCAGGTAAGCAAATTTCACGTTTCTTCATGTATATTTGCGTGGATTTCCCGTGCCCTCGACACGGACCTCAGCTGTCAAAACAGTGCCTCTCCCCTTCCGTCCCCTCTGCCACGGGAAATGCAGGCGGCGGTTTATCTGCGCGTTGTTCTGTTGGGCCGAGTTAAAATCCCGTGAGCGGGTTTTGGGAGCGGTTTGTGATGTTGCTTTCTTTACAGTCATGCTTTTAGGAGTGACTTTGCTGCGGAAGAAGTATCCCCCGGCCAAGTATCTCTGCGTCCTCTTGATAGTCGCAGGCGTGGCCCTGTTTCTGTACAAACCTAAAAAGGGGGCTGGGAGCGACGACCACGTCTTTGGCTATGGAGAGCTCCTTCTGGTGAGTACTGCCAACGCACACGTGACCCCGGCCGGGGCGAGGAGGAACAAGCAGTTACGACACAGATAAGGCCGCGTCCTTTGTACCTCCAGCGTACCCTAAAGCTGGTGTGGAAACGCTTCCGCAGGAGGACACCTGGGCTTGAGGGGCGCGCTCTTAAGCTGTGGCATGAGATCAGCGCATGAGTACAGGCGCATCCCTCTTAGCGTGTGTTTTGAGGCCACCTAATGGCTGTTGAGTAGGTGACTGGGATGTAAAAAAAGGAGGAGAACGCTCAAGGTCTTCCCCATGGAGAAGAAATAAAGAATGAAGGTTTTCTTTGCTTTCTCTTATCTCTGTCTCTTCTCAGCTGCTGTCACTGACCTTGGATGGGCTGACTGGTGTGTCTCAGGACCACATGAGAGCTCACTACCAAACGGGTTCCAATCACATGATGCTGAACGTTAATCTATGGTCCACCTTGTTCCTGGGGGCTGGTAAGGAACACCCTGCAAAAACCACAGCCACCACGCCCAGAGACTGCCCTGGGACACCCCGTGGGAAGAGACATCGTGTCCCGCTCCAAAAAAGGGCCTAGAACACTTTTTTGCAAATAACTTTATGTTTTGGGTTGGGTTTTGTTTGTTTGCGTATAAAAAGCGGGGGTTGGTCAGCGTAGCTCTTCTCGTGCCCGCTAGAGGACACCGCCTCACGCAGAGCGTAGCCGCCCGACGCTTGTTGGCTTCTGAGAAGTCCTCCCTGCAGGCCAGCTCCCTGCTCCAGCCCCAACCGCCCGGGCTTCTACCTGCGCTCTCGCGCGCGCCGGCA